CATTTTCCTTCCCTCTTTGTGCTTTAGGTTTTTGTTCTGAAATTTCACACTATAGCACGATACCAGCTTTCTGTAATTTTTAAAAAGTGCAAGCCACAGTCTGAACTTGGGGCCGCTGAAGCCGCGTTACCTGGAGTACCGACAGCAGCAAATGCAGCACCTGTTCCTGTTCCATCTCCTGCCCCAGCCACTCCAGTGGCCCCTGCACCAGTACCTGTATTTGAAAAACAAGGGGAGAAAGAAAAAGAAGATAAACAGACATTTCAGGTCACAGATTGCCGAAGCTTAGTAAAAACTTTGGTCTGTGGTGTCAAGACAATCACGTGGGGCATAACATCATGCAAAGCTCCTGGTGGTAAAACTGCATAATATTTAATTACATTTAGCTTTTGTAATTCTAAATTAAAACTCTCTAGCATGAAAGCAAATAGTATTTTTAATGGTTAACTACTGCCTCATTCTTTATCTTCTTTCAGAAGCACAATTCATTCCCAATAAGCAGTTGCAACCTAAGGAGACTCAAATCTATATAAAACTGGTAAAATACGCAATGCAAGCTTTAGATATTTATCAGGTATGTAACCTGGCTGCATAGCACTTTTAGTTATACAGTTACTGTGTGTTAGATCTTTCAATAAGGATTTATTTGTCAGCTAAAAGACAAATTTCACGTGTGGTATATTTTCATTAAGTCTTTAATTTCAGGACCACAGCTATTGGGAAATCTTGAGAATTTCAAAGTACTTATCACTTGAAAGGAACAAATTATTTTCTTAACAGCTGTTATTGTCTGTGTTTATGCAGGCAGGTCAGACTAAAATTACTTGTCTCTCATGTAGTGGATTAAATGTTTTCTTCAAAGAGATAGTTTAGCTATCAGTTGAAGCATGGCTGTTTATCTTCTGTAGTTACACAAAGTACTGATATAATGTAAATATACATGATTTGGAATTAAGTAACTTTACAAATACACTATAATATCTCCTGCTGTTGTCTTTTCCCACTCCTGACTCCATGGTTTTGCAATCTGTGCTGAAAACACCCTATTTTAATATTTTTATTGCCACTGTTGTCTCTTCTGCCCAACTTCTAATAGTATGGGGCTTGCATGTGAAACTTGTAAAATCTCAGCTTTTTTCAAAAGGTAATTTAAGAATTACCCGGAGGAAAAGTTACTCAAATTCTGTAACAAATATATGTGTTTTCTAAACTGCCATAGGTCCAAATAGCAGGAAATGGACAGACATACGTTCGAGTAGCAAACTGTCAGACAGTCAGAATGAAAGAGGAAAAGGAAGTTCTGGAGCATTTTGCTGGTGTGTTCACAATGATGAACCCTTTAACTTTTAAAGAAATCTTTCAAACTACTGTTCCTTACATGGTGGAGAGAATCTCAAAAAACTATGCTCTTCAGGTATTATGTTTTTGTTTATTTTTTCAATTGATAATAAACAGCCTGTAGGAAATAGCTTATGCCTTGAAGTACATAAGGCTGAAGTGGAATTACAAATAATAACATTGAAATTAGCATGCAAGATTTGAAGCAGTCTGTAAAAATACTTTGTAAAGATGGATTTTGAAAAGCTTTCCAGACTAAGTGATGCAATAAAAACATGAGCACTTCAGTTTAGAAGATATGAATGGACTTTATTCTTGGAAAGTGTTGAACATTGTGGAGTACTTCTTTTGTTCAGGTTGTTTTGTTAATGTTCTGACCTGCTGTTTTACAGAACACAAGTTCTATAATATACATTTAGAATTAAACTTTAAACTTGAATACTAGTTATATGCATGGTTGTTTTCCACTGAGGATAGCCTGAATCACTTGGGTAGCAGTGGAGATGGGGAAAGAAATTAGTCTTAGTTTTTTGTTTTAAATGGGCAGTGCATTTATTCCTCTGTTCTTTTCATTACAGGAACAATAACTCCTTTGTGGTTTCCTTTTATAGATTGTTGCCAATTCCTTCTTGGCAAACCCTACTACCTCTGCCCTCTTTGCAACGATTTTGGTTGAGTATCTTCTGGATCGGCTGCCAGAAATGGGCTCTAATGTGGAACTCTCCAATCTGTATCTCAAGCTGTTCAAGTTAGTCTTTGGCTCGGTTTCACTATTTGCAGCCGAAAATGAACAAATGCTGAAGGTAAAGGTCATTTGTGTTAAAAACAAAAAAAAAATCTGCTTTGGCTCTTAATACATTCTTCAGATGTCTGAAGAAACTTAGTTTTATGCTGTCTAACATTTGATAGTCTTTTCATGTTTGAACCGCTATTAGTGATATGTCTCCATTTTTTCCAAATTCCAAGTACATTGCCATGTTTATAAGAGATGGTTTCTGTGAATGTTTACAGTTTCAAATATGAAGCAAAGTGAAGTACTAGTTCTGAGTATAATGACTGATACGTGCTTGTGGTCTGATTAGGATTGCCATATACCCGTGATATGCGTATCTTCTTGCATATTTTTTCCCCTTTGTTTCCATATTAACTTAAGACTTCTGCTTAGACTGAAACCACTTTTTTGTGTGTTGGTGAATCTTGTTCATTCATGTCATATTCAATGGCATGTACCTCTTGAGTTAGATATTTCTGAAAAGCTCTTGAAAAGTCTGGGTTAAGGAATGCTATTTTTTCTATTGACACCATATTGTCTATGTATTCCAAGGGTCTGTTTATGTTGATGAGATCTTCTCATTATTCAGTGAGTTTAGAAATACTGAGCTTGAAGCAAGAGTGTGCTTTTTTTCGTAAAAGTAACAGCTGCCTATATCCAGAAAAAACATTAAGATATATTAATTGAACACTGCTCCTTCTCCCATCATTTCTCTCCATTTCTCTTCCTTGTACCTTAGAATAAACAAAACTTCTGATACAGGTAACTGTGTGATAATGGTTTCTGTGTGTAACGATTTGTTACAGCAGGATTAGTTCAGTTTTCTGGGTAGAACAGAGTAGGGACTACTAATTTTCCAGATTCTTTGAAAGGTAAGAGTAACATGAAGCAATATTCGTAAGTAATATGAAGCAATATTCATATAATCATGCATATAATTCTTCTCGTTTGTCATCGGAATCAAGGTCATTTGGATTCTATAAGCTGGAGATCCAGTTCAAAGAGTGTGATTTACTACCCTCACAGTTTCATGCTTCTGTTACGTTTTTTTGT